GTCGGCACATCCCGGGGAGCGTCCGTGAGTGTCCGGACTGGCGGGCAGGCGGGTGCCGGGGCTGGACCACACGCATTGGCCACCTCTCGGGGACACACAGAGCCCGTGGGCAGCCTGTGCCAGCTCCACACTGGGGACCTCCCTGGTGCCACTGTCCCCTGCCCAGGCCTGCTCGCTGACCTGCAGCTGGACCGCCTGAAGCAGAAGCTGGCCAGGAGGGTCTTCCTGCTGCAGAGCCACCAGGCGCCCGGAGGGGGACAAGGGCGTCCCCAGTCAGGCAGGGCACCCACTGGGTGACAGGGGGAATGCTTTGTGCTGGGCCTCACGGGTGCCTCTAGGACAAAGAAGAATTCAGGGACAAGCTGAGCCCCATCGTGGTGAGCCTCAACCTGACGCTGGTGGCGGCACAGGGCACCGATGCGCTGGGGCTGGTGCTCTATGGGGACACCCTGGTGCAGGAGCAGGTAGGGCCCCGATGCAGCCCCGCACCAGCAGCCTCCCGGGCACGGGGCAGAGCTGGCACCAGTGCAGCCAGGCCTGGGGACAACAGGGCAGGGGACTGGCCCCAACGCCCCCGCTGAGGTGCCCCACACTGGGCATATCCCCCCGGTGGGGCCACCATCTCTATCCCTCCCTGGGGCATGCCGCCTGGTTCCCCCTGCCGCTGCCCCCCACCTCTCGCCTTGCCCCTGACCCAGACACATATTGTACTGGACTGTGGTGAGGACAACATCTGCATCCCCGACCTCCGCCTTGCCGCTGACACGTGAGCACCCGGGGCAGGCGGGTGAGGGTGGTACGGTGCCACCTTGGGCATGACAGAGGTGGCATTTCAGGGCACCGTGGCCCTGGGCTGGGGGCCATCTGCCCTGTCGCCACGGGTGCTGATGCCCTGGCCATATGTCCCCAGGCCAGGCACACGCCTGCTCATTGGGGCAGAGAACGTGGTGCACCTCCGCATCAATGCCAGCAATGCCGGCGAAGGGGCCTTCGAGGCCGAGCTGCGGGTGCAGCTGCCCCCCTCTGCCCACTACCAGAAAGCTG